CTGCCCCAGCGCGTGAGCCGGGCTCCGGGCGCTGTGAGGCGAGGACTGCCCCGGCCCGGCCCGGGGCGGCCGGGTTCTTCTGAGCGGGCTGCGGAGGTGTTTGTTTCCCCTTTGCCAGGCTGCAATTAATCTTCCCTTTGAGGATATATCTTTTTCCTCGTTAAAAGGTAGTTGTAGAAGGAGGGGCGGTGACGAGCAAGCGCCCCTTCATGTTGCCTGCTGGTGGGTGGCTCTCCCCACCCTCTACAAGGCTTTAGTTCCCTTGCCATTCAGGCAGAAAGGGTAGTGGCTACCAGCTGCCTGGGGCAGCAAGCCTGGTCTGTGGCTCTGGCCGTGCACCAGCTGGGGCACTTGTCTGGGCCTGGGATGGGCAAGGACAGAACAACCCGCCACGATGCTTCAGCCAAGTCCTCTGGGTCCTTTAAGTGCTTTGTCTTCTGTGTCTTTATCCTTGTGCCTTACTGAACGTGTTGGCTTTAGATTACCTTTTCTTCTCCAGAAATCCTCAGCTACCCAAAATCTAATTGTTTTATAAAGGAAACAAGGTCCATCTTGGCTTCAAAAGTAACGAGCTAGGATAGTTCTTGGGTGACTAGGCTGAACTTGTCAACATGTGACTCGTATTGTTCCATCTTGCTGGCTTCTCCTCTCATCTCTACTTCAAAACATATTTTGCAGTGGTACTGTGCACCACTTGGCTTTTTACATCTGGTCAGCAGCTGAGAAAAACTTCTGTGAAGCTGAACACGGGGTAGCTTAAAGCAGAGAGTTCCTTTTTATTTGTCAACTTTTACCTAGTTTTATTTTGGGGAGTCTACTGTGTGTATTTCTGTTAAGACAGAATATTTATAGGCCTCCAAACAATACAGAGGGTCTTCTCACATTTTTTGCACGTATTTCCTTAATTCTTCTTTATTTTTACATATGCATATATGTTTTAATAATTTTTCAAGAGCTCATCTAAGTTCAGCTTGTTAAATGCAGAACCTGTAGTAGTTATTCTGTGTAAAACGTGGTTGTTGCAGAGCACAACTGAAGGGGGAGCACTAAAACTATTCTTGAAGACCATAGGTATTTTGTGAGTATACACTGACACGGAGGCAAACTGAAAACACTTCCAATGAAGTTCTAAAAATTAAGAGGAAAAAAAATATACGCTGCCGTGAAATTTAACACCTTGGTATACCAAGAGGCAGTTGTGATGTATCTTTGAGTACTGGAGCTGTGCTTTATGTTCATGTTGCTTATGCTTATTCTTGCCTTGGTTGCTTATGAGAGATTTATCACACAGCTTAAGAATAAAAGTAACCAAAAAAATGCAGTCGTTTGTACACTGTGCCCTTTCTGTTACTGGATTTTACTAGCGAGAGCTCTTTTTATACAGCAACACAGAACTTGGTGTCATTTACAGGTACTTTTTTTTTTTTTTTCTCATAGCCTGCAGTAGCTAGTCCGTCATAGATCCACCCATAGACCTTCTTTACTGTAAACCAACTATTCCCTGCCTCCTCTTCCTGCTAGCATTTCAGTCCAGAAGTTAAGGAGTTTGAAACTTAAGACTTCATTGAATTGCTTTGGTATCAATCAACATTTAGTCAAGACTGGAAACAATGCTTCGGGTGATTGTGGAATCTGCTAGCAATATCCCTAAAACCAAGTTTGGGAAACCAGATCCTATTGTTTCTGTTATTTTTAAAGGTAAGGCAAAATGTCATAAATGTACTAAGGGAGGAGGTCTTCTGAAGGATTGTGCCTTATGTAAGTATTTGAAAATCTGTGAAAACATGTTTTCCTGATGTTGCATCTGATGTAATTTTAGGGAAGACTTTTTAATTAGAGACAAGAGTTACCTGAATAAAGTTTGAACTGGGTGGAGTAGATTGGTATTTTCTGGACAGTAGTGCTTTTGTTTCAGGATTCAAGTTTTATGAGCTTTTACAAAGGCTTAGCCCTTTCCTTTAAAAACGCAAATCCAACTGCATAGATCAATACCAGAATTAAAGTGGATTTAAGATTACCTTGTTGTCTTCCATCTGAAAAAATCATTCCTCTGTCTTGGTTACTTTGTACAGCCACTGCTCACTGTTACACCAATTTTTATTGTGACTGGTTTATTGTTGTTATTGCTAGCACGCTGAAAAACAGTAGTACCATTACTGAAGGTGTTTGGGTTTGGTTTGATTTTTTTTTTTTTTTTTTTTTTTACAAACTGAATTGCACTTTAAAATTTTGCCTATTGAGATTATTTAATTTAAGATAAAGCTTTAGGAAGGAATCCACATTTTATGCTGTCATTGCTCATTGGATACCTACAGGAGAAGAAGAAAACAGTGTGATAAAACTAGCATTTATATGTAAAGCTATTTATATCTTACAGTATATTTTACCTATTGCCATCAGTTCCTCAGTTGGGTAGACTAAAGGAACTTTATTTCAAATATTAGTTTATCTTTAAGGTGCAGAAACCTCCAAGCAATTTTGGATCATGTAATATATTAAACCAAACTGTGAGAAACAATCATCTTAATTCCTGGTGACTTGGTTTCCTAACTGTGCACTGAAATTGAAATGGTATTTCCTTAAGTATGAAAAATCATTGCAGGGGTTTGTCACCTTTAGAAACCAAATCTGAAAACATGACATTTTACTGGAGGCTGGGAAAGGACAAGGCAGTGCATGTCCAGTGTCTTAACTTCCAAAATAAAAAGGTTTTGGATACTTTATTTCAGCATCAGAAAGGTGTGATATCATTCAATTTCCTTTCTTTTTCTCTTCTTTTTCAAGTTTGTTTTTTTTTTTACCCCCCTGTGCGTTAGTGGAAGTGGTTGACCCTGTCTCAGTAGTTTTAGGAATGTTCTAATTCTTAAAATATGATTTTATTTGCCCTGCAAAAAGTGCTGTTACTGGTGTACTGTAATTTCTCTGGTGTGTTAAATTTGTTTCTGCTGCTTCTTAAGCATTCATATTCTCTTTTCAGTTCCTTGTCTTTCTCTTTGCTTTCCTGTCACAGTTTTGCCTTTGTGTGTTACCTCCATTCCTACAGTTTCATACTTGAGAGTTGGTTTATGCCTTCACTTCTTTATGCCTTAAGTGTCTGTTTAATTCTTTCTTGTAATCTTTTGTTACTACTGTGTGCTCTAATGCAATTCCATTTTACCTGGGAAATACAAGTTATGGATTTTTTTTTCTTCTGCATTGTTTCTTAGTCCTTCAGCTATCCAAACACAGGAATTGGGCAATAGACATTAAAGGAATGAGTTTATATTTATCCTTTATATGCTATAACTGGGATTTTTTTAATGTTCACAAACATACTTAACCATTGTTTTAAATGTAACTTCATAGCTGTAACAGTTTTTTAGTAGGATATTTAATTTCTCATTATACATGCCACTTCTTTTTATGTGGTTTTACTACATAGCAACAGTGTATTTTTTGCTTCCTGTCCCGAGTGATTCAAGGAGGCCAGAAAATATCAGGCTTCTGCCAGCTATTGAGGAGCTCTGATTTAATTTGTAAGTGGACCTGGTTGTCAGGTGCAAGGGTGTAGGGGTCATATCTGAAATATGTTGAACTTCTGGCTGTTTATTTTTATAGATTTTTTTTATATACAGGCTGTTCTCCCTCACCTTGTTAGTGTGTGAAGATGGGAAACCAGTCTTATTTTGGGGAAGGTGTATGTCAAAGGGCAGTACTGTAGTCCGTACCCAATGTAGCTCCTGGGGGACATAAAAAACACAATTGGGAATTTATTTTCCAGACTGGGAAAAACTCAGGAATTTGCAGGACTTTGGCCATAGCCCTGCAGTACATTTTCATGTTCTTGTCTGAGTCTGGATTATTCTTGGAGAAGTCTTAGAGAACAGCACTCATTTGACAGATAATTGCTGTGGAAGTTGACATTTCATTAAACAGTGTTTTGTTCATTAGTTTTTTTCAAACTTTAACTTACACAGCCTTTGCTGATGTCAGGTTCAGTAATTTTAAGACTTCAGTGAAAACACACAGTATCTCTCAGCAATTGACCTTTACAGCTATGCTGTGAAGACTTTAAAAGGCCATGATCCTACAACTATTGGTATGTAAGTGACTCTACAAACACTTTAGATGTTAACACTCATATGTTAGTATAGTTTCATCTACGTATAGAGTAGACTTCATCAGATTTGTATAACTAAGCTAGTTATAGACTATGCAGTCAGTACAATTAATATTGTGATAAATGTTAGGTTCATATTAAGAGGAAATAGGCAGCTGTTTCTATTCTGATATCTTATTTGCAATAGAGGGGGATTGTACAAGCATTCTTTTTTTTTTTACACATTTATGTTCAGTCCAGTGGGATGGAACTTTTCTTTTATTTACTTTACGAACAACTCA